AAATCTTAAACTCTTTTAAGCGGGCATTGTTTATTGTGAGAAATTAAAATAAATAATTTCAATTTTTTGGTTTCATATCCGTCATCTATGTCTGTTTTTTGTGGGTAGCTTAGTTAAATTAATTAAGTACCAAGTTGTGTTAAATTCGCTTGCATTTAATATTCTCAGGCCACAACAGTACAACCATTTGCGCATAGTGAGGTAACAAGCAAGAGATTCAGTAGACTTGTAAACAATTAATTAGGTGAGCTTATTTCATTAACAAGGCATTCTTTATTGGTTAAATGGTGAAGTTAGTCAAATATTATTATAAGACGCAATAAAAATTGCTCGAAATAATAAATGAAAAAAATATTAATGGTTCGTACATGATACTATGCGAGATGAAAGTCCAGTCCATAAAAGTCCCAAGAGTTGTTGCTTAACCAAGAAGTATACGTGTTTATTTCACGTAAGGTCAAGAGCATCCCGCGTCCCCTATTGATAGCCACTAGCAAAGGAGTTCAGGCAACTACTATTTGGCGAGATCAGTTGCTCAGGACAACTTGACCTCTATATGAACTAATGACTTAATGATAACACCAGTTTGCCGCGACATCTATCAAGACTTAGCCTGACTATAAGCATCTCGCCCTTAATGTAGTCCGTAAAAGGTTACCATCCTCTGTCAATAGAAATGAACAACGTCTTACAAAGGTAATATAAACAAGATATTTCTCCACTATAAATATAGATAAAATCATTTATCTATCAATACTTGAAATACTTAAATATTAATTAACTGACTTGAATATCAAAGTGCTTTGCAGGTTTTTCCTTTTAATCTCCTCAAACTACTTAAACACCAACACACTAGCCCAATTATCTCGCACAAGCACCAAGATCATCTCATCAGCATCCAGCCATATTGCAGGACGTCACCCAACTCATACTTCCATCAACAATATCAGGTTCAACCCATACGTATGGGATGAAAGCCAATTGTTATTGAACTGATCCATTAATACCACTTTAAAAGAAATGATAAATTTTGAACATATAATACTTCTTATAAACAACTATTTTTTTTTTCGTTTGATCATATTATTTTAATCAAGTCCGACAGAGTTTTACTCGGAAAGAAAGCATTAACAACATTCCAAAACATTAAACTATAACGCGAAATTAATAAAAGTTTTTAGAAAAATGAGAATAAATTTAGAAATCTGAATAAACAATGGTATTTTCCGCTTTGCTTTTAAGATAAAAACAGCAAGTAAGATGAATAAATGATAAAATAAAAAAAGAGAGGAGAGATTCTGACAGGTGGCAGGCTGTGACTGAATGGTACCTTGTTAGAGTAGCGGTGATTGTGACTTGACTTGACTCGAGCCAGGGACGGTGGGGTCTGAGTCTTTGAATTCTTGGTCCCGACCGCAACAGACACCAGACCAGAACCCATGATACTGAGTACACCAAATCATTCTGCACCCTAACCGTTGCGTTATTGGCTGCAACAGTGATGAAAGTGTTACTTTTGCTAAATTTTTTATCCAAATATCACGTGAATAGTACTTTTTATATGTCATAATTCACTGTCATATGTCATAATTAGCTCCACTGATAGCAAAATTTGAGGTTAATAATTTTGTGACACGTGACCATATTGCAGATCAAATTAATTCACTACCATTGGTAATGAATTATGACACGTCAATTTTTTCTTGCAAAAACGTGTCACGTGTCACAAAATCATTGACGAACATAATTCACTACTGATCATAACGAATTATGTCACGTAACAATCTGATAAAAAATAATATTCGCATTCATTTGAATAAAAAATTTGTCAAAAAATAATATTTTGGTCACTGTTGCTTGGCTTCACCTCTTCTCTTACTTCCTCATTTTCAAACCCTTTCTCTTATATTATTATGAACTATGAGAGTACAAGCATAAATAAATAGTTCAGAAGTTCATGACCTAGGAAGTTGATCATTTCATAGTTCATACTACGTGAAGGCATTAAATAAATAAAATTTTATTAAAATTTATGAATTTCTTTATTAAGATGTTTGTGTTTATATCTTTTATACGATAGTATTAATTAAGTGAAAGTTTTAAATTTCAAATATTCATTCCTCGTGATCATGTCAGACAAGGAAACAATATTGTTTTCAATGCTTTAATGTATAATCTTTATACTTTATGTAACTTATTTAAAAAATTATTACATATGTTTGAGAACAATAAATTTTTTTTAAAAAAAAGAATTGCGTAAATTTTGTTTGGAAGTTATTTAGGTAAAAAAAAAAAAAAAAAGACAACCCAGATGGTGCATTTTCATCGTAATTAATTATTAATTATAGTCAAAGCAAGCCAACTACGATTGCAAGAAAAAACATGCCAACAACTCTTACCACAAAAAAAATAAGCATGCCAACTAATAGCATATTATTCAAGTGTACTAATATAGTTGTACTTTTAATTTTTCTAAAGATATAATTTCCCATGACTTTTTTATAGCTATTTTTATGTATTATAATATTAAACATCACAGATATATTCATCACCGCAATGCAATTTTGTTTTAAATAAGTCAATTTTGACAGCTGAAAAACAATAAAAGAAAATGTACGAGGGTTTGAATTCTGTTTTCAAAAACAATATTTTAATTTTTTGAATAAAAGAATAAAAAATAGCTTATTTGATAATAATCGTGTTGTAAAAATAATTTTAAACATTATATTTATTTTTTAATTTTTAAAATTAAATTTCTGTTGTGTATTTTGGCTTTTAATTTAAAAATAAAACTCAAAAAATACTTATTTTATTAACTACTCTATAAAAATAATTTAAAAAAAAAATCAGAAAACAATCCTAACTAACTCCTAGTTTTTGGAATCATCCTTGATGGGTAACCTCGTAGCCTATGCACAGAATACAACTCTGAAAAAAGCTTAGTTTTATGCCGTTCACGTACAATGACAACGACAACGACAATGATAACTAGTTTTTATAGTTGTTTAAAGCCATTTAACATGCCATTTTTAAATCAAATTTTTTATTTGAGACCGTTGCTTGGCTCAAGAAGATCGTGAAGGTTTGTGCTTTGTTCTTCATTATAAAAACTGTTTCGCTAATTGCACTTTTCTAGTCGTTTTATTTTAAGCACTGCTGGTTAATTAAATTTCTTTATGTGTTTTTTATTTTTTTTATTTTATCGTTAGATCCATAGGTCAAATTATGAAACTGAGTCCAAACTAAGTGGATTACGGGTGGGGACAATTTCCTTTTCTTTTTAATTTAATTTTCTTGCAATAAACAACTGTTTTCACCCAACAAGTGTGTGATTAGTTTTCTATCTCAAACATACATAATGTTATTGAATCGCAATATGTATTAGTGCATCGTTTGTCTGATTTTTTGTATAATATATTGTGAATGATATCAAATCATAAAATACAGAAACATAATAAAATTTAATTTAAAATATTTATTTAATTATTTCTTTTATTAATACAGATTTTTCAGATAAATTTTTGAGTTTAAATGCTAAATTAAATCTTTCTTTTCTTTTTCTTATTAATAATATTTTTTTAATTTTTTTTAATTTAAATCACAAATCAAATCTTTATTTCTTTTTTATATTAAAAATTATAAATTTTGATTTGATTTTTGTATCATATGATACATGATACGTATCATATCGTATGATACAGTATTATATCATCTTATACAAGTCCCTTTATGATACATCTCACGATATATATTATTGCATTTGTAAGTTGTATCTTATTGTACGAATCGTACTATACTGATAACTATGTGGTTGTCGTTATTTTGCACTATATCTCTGTGGTTAAGAAATTGATGTTTAGCTTACCAAAAAAAACAAAAGAAATTAATGTTTAGGTATTGGAATCGCAAAATGCATTCTATATACAAAAAGAACATGATTTTCTTTTTTCACAAAAAAAACAAGTTTTATTTTGTATAAAATCATTTTAGCCTATTTTTAAATTTATTCAAAAGTATTATAAAAAATGAATTACTCCATTTAAAATTTAATATCTTAAAACATTATTTTGATGTAAATTGAGATGATACCTGAATTAAAATTCTCTTCTTATTTATAGTCCATCGTGATGTATTTCTTATAATAATTTTTTGTATTTTTCCCTAAATATTCTCATGTCATGAGAAGATTCAAATTCGTTTTTTAAAAAAAAAAAAAAACTTGAAAACCCGTAAGACGTTTGAACATCAAGATTCTTATAAATTGTACTTTTTTGTATAGTGTATCTCTAACATTGACTCTTCCATTCGGTTGTTAACTTAAAAAAAAAAAAACAAATCAGTATAATAGAAAACCATATAATATTTAATATTTAATATGAGTGGCTAATTTGGTGAGCTGACAAATAAAGGTAGCTAAGCCAGGTATGCACCAGGCTGAAGAAGACTGTCAAATTGATTATTCTATTTTATTCAATTTTAGCAGTACCTAAAACATCACATTTATTTAAAAAAAAAAAAAAAAAAAAACATCACATTTAAAATTTAAATTTATATAATGAAACAACGACAAACAAAAAATATATATATAAAAATAAAAATATAAAAAAAAGCGACGTAGAAAAACAGAAACAAGAGAGAGACAGAGAAAGAAGGAAGAAGAAGAAACGAAGAGAAAACAAGAAAGATACGTTGGAGAAGGCATTCAAATTAAATTTCGGAGACGAGTTTTGTTCCCACGGGAACCCTGGCCAAACGCCGCCGCCACGTAATCCTTCCGGTGACACTGAACTTCCTCTCCACGCTCTTCCCCCCGCCGGCGATGGCTCATGAGCCGCCGGCGAGCTATATTGGTTACGGAGTCCCGCTTAACAGATCTCTTATTTTAATAACTAACTAACTAACTGAGCATCTGTTTGGACGATCGTAACTAACCGTCCGTCAGCCACGGAGAGTTTGTTGGGACGGTTACAGGCTGGCGGATTTCTTCGGTGGGAGCGGTGATGGCGAAGGGAGGGCAATGCTTGTTCGAGAAGCTTGGGAGGTGCGCTCGGACGGTTTTCTTCGTGGTGGCATTGTTGGCGTCGCTGGCGGTGACGTCGCTGCCGGTGGTGGTGGCCGTGGTGGACGTCCTTGTCCCTTGCGTTCTGATCTCAAACTTCACTTGCGTTAAGTGCTACGGCATCAAGGAGCATTTTCGTCGTTACGCTTTCAAGAGCTCGTTGACGGATATTCCTCTCGTTTCGGTCTTAAGATCATTTATCATTATCTGTATGCTTCATTCTTCCTCTTTTTTTTTTTTTTTTGCGTTTCGTTTCGTTCGCTTTTTCGCTTGATCTTACTGGTGTTTCAAGGAATCGTTAAGTTTGTGTTTAACAATTAGTTTCTTAATCTGTAGAAAAAATATTGGATTCTCTGTGCATGTTAATTAGTGTAGTTCTCATGTGATTGCAGGTGTTTATTCGGTTTGTGATGTCCCTGCTCTCTCTCATGGTCCTTACCTTGGAACTGTGACTCTGTGTTCCTTTCTCTCAATTGTTCTCCTTTCAGTCAAAGCTTGTGTTTTCTCTGTAAATTCTCAGATTGAAGCGGAAGCTTCGGTTTCCTTGAAGAGGCAGAGACTCCATTTGAAGAAGTCATGGGGAATGCCTGTGTTGTTTCTTTCATCAGTTGTGTTTGCACTCGGCCACACTGTGGTTGCTTACAGAACCAGCTGCAGAGCACGGAGGAAGCTCTTGTTTCATCGAGTTGACCCTGAAGCTGTAAGTTTAGAACAGCCATCTAGTCTTTCTGTAATTTCTCAGACTAGTGCTTGTGTTGCTTCTTTAGTTATAACTTCTATTTCAATTAAGCAGTTGTAATACTATGGACCGTTTACAAGAAAATCTCTGAAATTGACAAGAGCTTTTGTTGGTGACTTGTAAATTTTATTACTTGGGTTACAGACATGTTGAAAACTACATTGTTTTGTTTATGCTTGATTAAACAGGTCCTATCATGCAAAAATGTTTTCTCTGGCTACCAGAAGGTCCCACGTTCTCCTACTCCTGCTGGAGGGAGAACTGCAAAAAGTGACAGTGAATTGAGGCGTAGACCTTTTGGAACAGCTCGTGATGAAAAACTGCTGGTCAGATTACTTGCGGATTCAGACAGCTTATTTATTACATGCCAAGGACTTACTCTCCATTACAAGCTGAGCTTGCCTGGTTCACCTCCACATACGTTATCCTCCACGTCCTGCATTGAATCAAATTCTAGTTGCAGCACTTCATCAATGGCTGGAGGGTTGTCAAAATCTAATAGACATTTGCTAAGTACATCTCCGAAAATCCAGCCACAGCTATACAGGAGTTATAGCAGTCAGTTCCACGGCTCAGCTCTATATGCTCCTCTATTAGATGGTCCTTTAACTTCTGTTGTTTCTGAAGATATCCCTGTTTTTCACCTGGATGGTATTTGTGAAGAAGATGAAACTAGTAAATTGGATTCTTTATCTCTGGAGCAAAATTTGGAGAGTAATGGCCAATTAGGTATTGTTTTAATACATGGGTTTGGTGGAGGAGTCTTCTCTTGGAGGCATGTGATGGGATCTCTAGCTCGGCAGAGTAATTGCACAGTTGCTGCATTCGATAGGCCTGGTTGGGGATTAAGTTCAAGGCCGCATCGGGAGGACTGGGAGGAAAAAGAATTGCCTAATCCTTATAAGCTTGACAGTCAGGTGATTATTATTTATCTCTTGTGTGAGCTGTAGACATTTGGTTATTTTGTAATTCCTATTCTTGATTAAAGAAGTATTAAAGGCATAGGCCAAGCTCGTTATCTATCTGGAGTCATGATCAAAATGCTATCCTTTCGAATAGAAAGTCAAATTCTGGATTCGAAGGCCTAGAGTTATATTGAATGTTGCATATCTGTTATTCCTGTTAATTATGCTTTAGTGGTCAGATTAAGAAGAAAGAAAATCTTATGTAAGTTTGGTGTCATGGGTTACTGAACCTTGTAAAGTAGGGGGGAAAATATCAAATAGAGAGGAGACAAGCAGCATAAACATTAAATGGGGTAGCCCTTTTTCCTTTTCCGTTTCGTTTTGTTTTGTTTTGTTTTTTTGGTGTTGGAATTCAAAGGTGTAACTTTTATTTAAGTATTTTCACTTTAATTTTCTTTTTTTGATCCAGGTTTCATCTGAAATTCAATATCTGATAGATTCGGTTTTTTCAGGTTGACCTGCTTTTATCTTTCTGTTCTGAGATTGGATTTTCTTCAGTAGTGCTAATTGGTCATGATGATGGAGGGTTGCTTGCTCTGATGGCTGCACAAAGAGTTCAAACATCAATGAATTATTTCAATGTGAGTGTTTCTTCTTACTTGTTTTTTGGTAAGTAGGTAACTTGGTAAATTTGATCAGCCTAATTATGCTGCTGAGCTTTTATCTAAATGTTAAGTTGTTGAAATACCTATACATGTGATATGTTTTGTCTCAATTCAGGTTACTGTGAAAGGGGTTGTATTGCTAAACGTTAGCTTGTCAAGGGAAGTGGTTCCTTCCTTTGCAAGAATCCTTCTGCATACCTCACTTGGAAAGAAGCATTTGGTTCGCCCTCTACTAAGAACGGAAATCATGCAAGTGGTGAATCGGCGTGCTTGGTATGATGCTAACAAATTGACAACAGAAGTTTTGACTCTTTATAAGGTACGTTTGTACCTTAAGCTATATAATCACTTTGTCTTTTCAAAAATTTTAATTTAGGCTGCAACTTTTTACATTTTTTTTTTTTGTCTTTCTTTGCTTTGCTTTATAACTTTTATTGAGCATCATTTCTGGATTCAGAAATTTATTGACTTGTGCTATATGTGACTGTTCTTTGTGTTTAGGCTCCACTATCTGTTGAAGGATGGGATAAAGCACTTCATGAGATTGGTAAATTGTCCTCTGAAACCATCCTTTCAGCAAAATATGCAGAATCATTGCTACAAGCTATAGGAGACATTCCAGTATTAGTCATTGCAGGTGCAGAAGATTCCCTTGTTTCTTTGAAATCTTGTCAAGCTATGGCTTCAAAACTTGTAAATTCTGTAAGTATTCTACTTTTCATACATTCTCCACAAAACATGTAAATTCTGTTAGTGTGTAGGAGTGAAAATGGCAAGTGGAAAATGGATTGGAAGAACATGACGGTTTAGCTAGACTTGTATCATATCTAAATACTTCGCCAGTCCCATTCCTTCATTTTCCTACTCTCATTTTTAATTTCCCAAGCATTTGTCATGGCATATGAGTCTGCGTTACTAAGTTTCTAATGCTTCTCTTACCATTTCACATGCAGAGACTGGTTGCGATATCTGGATGTGGCCATTTACCCCATGAAGAGTGTCCAAAGGCATTGCTTGCAGCTATATCACCCTTCATTAGTAGACTCCTGTCTGTATCTGACTCGCAAAGCCAGTAAGTTCATTTCTTTTAAAGCTAATTTACATAGGGTTGTTATCTTGTAAGGGCTATGTACGATCTTCCTTTCCTTTTCCTTTTCCCGTCTTTCTTTTGGTTTATTTCCTTCTTCTGTTTCTTTCTAAGCACTATTACTTCAAGAGGGAGAGACCAAAGGTCATCTTTCTCTGGGGTGTTTTTGACGTCCAAGTTTTAGGGGTTTTAACCTGTAGCTTCTCCATCTTTTCCCACCTTTTTTAGCAGTCAATGTTATGATCGTATGAGGTGCCTTGTCATTTCCCACTAAAAGAAAGTGGGGGAGACAACATGCATTTGTAAATGTATCATCAGATTGATAATGAATATAATTTAGCATGTCTTTGTTTCCCGCTGCTGAACACAATCCATTCATGCTTCCAACTTTTTTTAAAATGCTAGTAACTTAAGCTACGATTGAAGGTGAGTCGAGTCTGCTTCTAAGTAACTCATAACTTAATTCGTTAAGAGTTTAATAAATTAGATTCAGTTAATGAACTGGAGTTGAAAATCCTGAAATTATTGTTAGATTAGCTGCTTTTATATGTTCGATTCATTAAAGAAATTACAGAAATTTTTTGTATTGAGAATAAGACATGAGTTTGGCTCATTAACTTCGATAATTCGTGAATTAGTTCTGAGATGAGCTTGAGCCATAATGAACTTGGCTAATTTTTGTCGTGTTTAATCTGAGATAAGTTTTAGCTTGATTTATTTCAGTTGACTTTCACTCCTCCCGGCATTGCAGCAAACTTTCACTTTGCACTTTCAAAATGCTAAATTTATCATAATTAAAAATAGGAAAAAATGAAAAAATGTTTCTGCAGCATTTATTCTCAAAACGACATCATTTTGGTATTAAAATCTTAAAAAATTATAAATATAAAGACTATTATAACCCTGAAATAAATTAAAATTATAAAAACACCATGATTTTCACCCAAAATGACGTCGTATTGGGCTTATTACATATAACTTGTCTGCACTAACTGCAGAAAAAAGAAACCCTTAAAAATAATACTCTTACAAGAATAAAAAGTATAAACCACTAGGATTGATATAGTGGTATTTTGGTAGGTTGTATTAGGTTATGTGTTCAATTCTTAGTTATATCCAAATAAAATAAAATAATAAGAATAAGAAATATTAGATGTAATCTTAATCATTAATCTATTTACATCAAATAACTTACATATCTAATAAATTAAATTTGTTGATATAAAAAAAATCAATAATTAAGATTGATAATATAACTTATTGTTGTAGAAAAATCACTCTGGGAGATTAGATCTCAAGTTGAAAAATCATAAATCCGATTTGCCAAAAAAAATAAATCAATCAAAAATTTGAACAAGGACACTAATTAAAAAATTTAACAAAAGAATATTAAAAAATTTCAATATTGACATTGTAAAATTTTAAAAAGTATTTATTGTTTTTTTCTTAAATACTAATTAAATGCATTTAGATTTTTTTAAATATTCTTTAATTAGTACTTTAAGTCATTCATTAATAAAAGGTAAATAACATTAAAAAAATAAGAATAAGAAATATTACATCTAATCTTAATCATTAATCTGTTTACATCAAATGACTCACATATCTAATAATAAATTAAAGTTGTTGATATAAAAAAATCAATAATCAAGATTGATAATATAACTTATTGTTGTAGAAAAATCACTCTGGGAGATTAGATCTCAAGTTGAAAAATCATATATCCGATTTGCCAAAAAAAATAAATCAATCAAAAATCTGAACAGGGACACTAATTAGAAAAAGTTAACAAAAGAATATTAAAAAATTTCAAAATTGACATTTTAAAATTTTAAAAAGTATTTATTTTTTCCTTAAATACTAATTAAATGCATTTAAATTTTTTTAAATATTCTTTAATTAGTACTTTAAGCCATTCATTAATAAAAGGTAAATAACATTCACTGATCCCATTTTTTTTCTTCTAAATACTATACTTTCTTTTATTTGACTTAATTGATTAATAAAACTGAGGTAACGAAATATGCTAGTGAGTGCTCTCCTAATATAGGTCCAATAATATTTGATCTGGATTAAATCAGTTTGGATAAAATAAAATAAAAATGCTAGTAAGTTATCGTGGTTACTTCGTCAAAATAGATAATTTGATATTAAAAAAAAAAAAGAAAAAGCAATGGTTGATTTTGGACTGAGGGTGATGATCCCGCTGTTAACATTTACCCAGCAAGAAGTGGAACAAGTGCACTGGGGTGGAGTTTAGAGGGGTGAAAGCAGAGAATCAGAGATGAACAACTGCACCTCTTTGTTGGACAATGATAAAAATGTAAAAATATTTTAAGTTAATAATATTGTTGGGATAATCAAGTATGATAAGTCTCACGTTAGTTAGTAATAGGTTAAATGAAGAGTATATAAGTGAGAAAATCCATAGATCCAATGCCTTAAAGTTTTGAGTTGTAACATGGTGTCCGATTCACTTGTTACGATTGGTGTAGTTTAGCCCATTGATACTAGTCCTCCGCAATGGGCCTCCTCTGGACCCACCTGCCAGTGTATTAGAGCCGGGATGGGCCCAAGCTAGCTTGGTAGTTGGCTAGAGGGGAGTTGAATACTTTAAGTCTATGTACTTAATTGAGGAGGAGCATACCAAGATTTCATACTCGATGGGAGATTGTTGGGATATTCAAGTGATGAGTCCCACATTAATTGGTAATGAGCTAAGTGAAATTCATATAAGTGGGAGAACCAATTAACCCAATGCCTTAAGGTTTTGGGATGTGACATGGTGCTGAATCGACTTGGTGTAGTTGGTATAGCTTAATTCATTTGTGGTGGTTCCCCAGCCACGAGCTCCCCTTGGACTTGCTTGACTTTAGTATCAGAGCCGGAGTTGGGCTCTAGCTAGCCCGGTGTTTGGCTAGAAGGCAAGTTGAGTACTTTGGGTCTGAGTACTTGGCTGACGGGGAGCATACCAATGTTGAATTTCACACTTGAGGGGTAAATTGTTGGAATAATCAAGTTGGGTTTTTGGTTAGGAGGGGAGTTACATACTTTGGGTCTGGATACTCAATTGAGGGAGAACATACCAATGTTGGGTTTCACACTTGAGAAAGTGATTGTTGGGATAATCAAGTGTGATGAATCCCACATTGGTTGGTAATGGACTAAGTGAAGAGTATATAAGTGAGAGGACTCATGAATCCAATGTCTTAAGGTTTTGAATTGTAACATGATGTTGGATTCACTTACTACAATTGGTATAGGTTAGCCCATTGATGGTGGTCCCCCGCCATGCACATTGGTATATCAGAGCCGGGTTGGACTCGAGCTAGCATGTTGATTGACTAGAGACGGGTTAAGTATTTTGGGCCTGGTACTCGATTGAAGGGGAGCATACCAATGTTGAGTTTCACACTTGATTATCCTTACAAATATATTAAAATTAAACTCAATTCTCATTTTACCCAAAATAAAAAATAAAAAATTTCAATGTTATAAGTTTACAATATTTACTTTTGAAATTGGTTCAACATATGAATAAGTTATTTATATAAAAGGGATTAGATTATCAAAGTGTACACCACTCTTTATATAACATTATAATTAATTTGGGAAATTATCTTTATATACTGCGTTAAGATGTTTTCTTTTCAAAAGATTAAGAGATCTGGGATAAAAAGAATTGAGTTATTTGGTGATCAAGAGAACCAGGTATATACTGATCTAGGGTCATCTAGAGTGCTTTTAATGACAATGGTATAGACCAAAACCTTTATCGAGCTTATCAGGTGCAGTTTAAAAATGGTGGGGGAGGTGTTTAATGGCTAAGATGTCTCTCCAAATGAATAGAGTAATATCTCATGAATGTGATAGAACAATGTGTGTATCTTTTTGGGTGTGAGGGGGTATCTATAGGTGAGGTATGCGCTTCCTTGTGAGGGAGAAGAGTATGAAAGGATGAGACAACCTAACCACCATAGCCTATCTTGCTTCGACAAGACGCATTGCAACCATTGTCAGTGTACAATGGCTGCTTGACTACTTGTGCATGGAAAGATGAAGATGTTACCTGCTTCAGAAAAGGGGTGCCCTCGGTCAATCTTTACGTATGGGCTCTTCATATTGGGCCTGACCATTGGGCTGGCCAAAACAAGAATAATCCTAAATTTTCGCTCTAGGAAAGAATTTATTATGTATCTTTCTTTCTTTGATTAAGTGATAATATAATTGAATTTTGGGAGCATATATTGTTGGGTGTGTGGATATGTATTTCGATCTAGAATAGAAACTATACAATGCTTAAGTTACCTAATTTACTTGTTATTACTTAAAGTGTCGTGCATCCAAATCCAAAAAATGAATTTCCTTAACTCTGTAGCTAATTTAGGTGATAACTTTTTTTTTTTGGTAGAAATCTGGAAGTGTTCTCATTCAATCTTCTCCGGTCACCTTTACCTTAGATTACGGTCTCAAAGACTACCTCCTCATTGAAACAACGTATGCATTATGCTATGCCACAAAAGAAAGGATGAAATTAATTTTCCATCAAGGGATAACCTTTTCTCCGACCCCCAAAGAATTCTAGAATTGTTTGGGTCAAAGATCAAACTCTTGGACCAAGCAACTCTTGGGGCTCAACTTCGTCGATTAAGCTACTTGATTTTGAATTCAAATCCTAATTAATGAGAACGCAATGCCTCAAATTTAATATACTATTTCCTTCTTCACACTAATTTTTGGACATCTTTTATTAAAAAAAAACCCATAAAAACCTTTTATATTCCCATTCTTGATGTGAACAATAGCCAAGAAACCCATTTTTTTTAGTATAACAATTTTCTATATATTGGTTTGACCTTATCCTACCCCTCCCATCAGGATCAGGCGAGAAAAACAAATCCCAAGGCAAACAGATGATTGGGCATCATAGGTGATCTCAACCATTAAATTTAGGCTTTTTAATCATGCTAATGCAAAAAATAAACATAGCATCAGTTTAATTTTTTTGTCAAAATTTTTACCTGACTAATGCACTGAAACACATATGAGATGTGTTTTTAAGTCACACATCACCCCATGTGCGACTTAGATAAAATTCAAAAAGTGCTTGTCATGTGTCATGTTCTGCAAGACGCGCATTAGGAACATGTCTGACTTGAACGTACGTGGCTAGAATACACGACTTGCATTGCATTTATTTTTGCACAAATAAGGTATGGGAGGGATGCGCGATTTAAACACGCACATGCCTTATGCAGATTTCACTGTATTAGTGGGGTAAATAATTTCTCAAAAAAATTAAACTAGTGCTATGTTTGCGCTATAAGGGTCAAAAGCCCTAAATTTATAAACTACACCAACAATTAAGATGGTTAACTGATTACACCTTCGTACATTAGAAAAAAATAAATATATAAATAAACCTTCCAACGAGAAAAAAGAAAACAAAAACATAAAACTCGAAGTCACTTATGATTGGGCTTCAGTAATGACGTCAATGGACTATATTTACGATTTTCTATGCGGTCGAGAATTTTCACTCAATTCTTTAATGCCATATAAATTAAACCTGACGACCAGAATAACACGCCAAAATTGTTGACTTAAAGATTAGATTATTAGGTATATTTGCGTATACACAAACTTCCAACAATATGGAACCATTAAACACGCTTCTAATGACAACCACACCATTAAATATTAATATTAGCAAATCTACCCTTTATTATTATTATTATTATTATTTACAGCCAATGTCACACTCACATTTTTTCGTTCATCATTTTCTGGATGACTTAGAATTATCTATCCGTCACGAGCTTAAGTGGCCTATTAGAGTCACAAGTGAGACATTCGCAACACATTTTCATGGGAAATTCTTATGTGACTACTGCTTGTCTTGTCACATTATCTCTTAGACATAGTCAACATGTATACTGACATTATTATTAAGAGATTGATGCATTTTTAGTATATATTTTTTTAATGAAATGTATATAACAAATGGAGATGACAAAATGATCCTTGCCTCACGGGTCAGCCCCAAAAAGCCCATGGGCGAAGCATGGGGCTTTTGTGATTGAAGCAAGAATTACTCCATTTTCATTAATGCTGTCAATCATAAAGCTATACCATATCAAGAAGTGAACGTGTGCACAAAAATTAAATTAAGTTCAATTTACGGTGACTCAACCTAAAGTTCAGGTAGCGAAGTTGTTTAATCCTTGGAAGCTCACCAACTCATCCTAATGAGGCCACTGTGCCTCAATTTTAATATACTCTGTCCTTCTTTACACTAATTGTTGAGGCCTTTTTTTATAAAAATGAAAGTTCCCATGAAAACCTTTTCTATTTTTTTCATTCTTGATGCGAACAATAGCCAAGAAATCCCATTTTTGTTTTAGTACAACAATGTTCTCTCTAAATATTTTCGGGTTTGACATTAACTTATGGGTTTTATAAGAGTTATGTTGTCGGAAAAAATAATTGTGTAATGTTATAGAGATTCATTTTACGTGTCGTAGCTTTTTTGTTTTTTTTTTCAAAAAGTGTGAGCCCCACAAAATATTGTGTGTGTAAGAAACTTTGTTATGTCGTGTTAAATGATAAATACAAACTCCTTAACTTATTCCTCCCATAAAAAAAATATCCAAAAAGCAAAGAAACAAATGATTGGGCGTCATTAGTTATGTCATGTCAACGACTAACTTTGCAAACTAAACCAAAATCTCTTGGAAACGTAATGGTTAATTTTTTATATTTTTCATTACACTCTAGTCTAGACGACCTTACTCTCTATGATATGGAGATTTTCACTTTAATTATTTTATGCCATTTAAATTGACCTAAGTACCCGCCGACCAGATTACGTTTGGTTCCAGTATTGTAGTTTATAATTTGTTGGTTTAAAGATTAGATTAGGTATATTTGTTTAAGTACAAACTGCCAACAATTTGAAACCATTAAAGATGTTTCCAATGATAATCACAACATAAAATATTAATACTATTAAAATCGATCGTTTATTATTATTGTTACCATCTCACACGAAAAAATAATATAAAAACTCTCTTACAACAAATTGAAGCCAAATAATAGTTTCTCATTACCAAGTTCTAGCATTTCACAGCCAACAACAACACTTAAATTTCTCGGTTCATCAATTTTGATGACTTCCCCGAAACCATAGACTTAGAAAATTAGAATTATCTATCTCTCACGAGTTTCTTGCTAAAGTGGTCTCTTAGAATCTCATTCAAGTGAAACACTCAGCCACATGTTTTCATGTGAAATTTTCATATAAGTACTGTCTGTCACATCATATCTTTGACACTTCATTTAATAATTACTATGCATATTGATATTATTTAGAGAATTATGCATTTTTAGCATTAAAATATTAAATAGAGAATCAATAGTGATAGATGCCTAACCAATAATTGCTCCATTTTCACGGATACATTTATAACGAAATTAACTACCCCATAACAAGTAGCGAATTTGTCCACAAAATTCAATTCAATTCTAAGTTTTTTTTGCATTGCAACAAAGAAATATCAACTTCATAATATATATATATATATATGAGGTTACATTTTCTCATGCAACATGAGAGGAGCTTTTCTCCTATACATACAACCAAGTGGGCCCATTAATTTAAAAAAAAAGAAAAAAAATATTAACGCATAAATTGAGCTCTCACTAACATAAGAGGAACTTTGTTTCTAGTACATATTTATTCCTCTATATAGATATTTTTTTTCAATTTCGTACGCTTGAATATTTGGACTTTGAAAAAGGTACAAAAGGTGGTTTATAAACAGAATCGTATCTTTTAACCCTACCTCTACAGTCATGATGCCAACAACATCAAACCTTTCTTTTCTAAGTATGCATGCTTTATTATAAGGGATTCTATTTTCTGATGTTGTAGGAGATAGTTATCTCCTACTATAGACACATGATGTGGTGGGTCCCACTATTTATTAAAAAAAAAAAAAATAGTGGCACAATTTTTTATGTGAGATAACATGAGAGAGTTATCTCATATAAAATGAGATAATGATTTCCCTTATTATAAATGCTCACATTAACAGTTAATATGTATAAATCTTAAAAATACATATTTTTAAAAAATACCTAATTTTCTTTTACACATTAAAGTAAAGACTAATAGTAAAGAAGAAAAAAGAAACATACAAAAAAAAGAACAGGGAAACTCCTAGCGAGACTACGCACGCCTAGCAAAAATCACACCCCTGCTATCAGCCTGAAGATGACACCACAGTCGAGGGGTGTTAGAAAAGTGAGCATCATCATAACTCTAGGTACACCAACAAATAGTTTGCCAACCAATCAGTGCATTAGTTGCCCTTCCAAAGAACATGCATAAACTGAACATTCCAATGACGCCTAACAAATGCTTGTATTTGAGTCACTAGTTGTGACTCACGAGCTTCATTGTCTTCCTTAGAAAACAATACACTGACTGTTTGATAGTCACTTTCAACTAAAACATTTCTCCAACTGCCTCCCAAGCTAACTCCAGTCCTTTTAACACACCCCACAGTTTTTCTTGTAAAGCAGCACATTGTCCAATTCTTGCAGCAAACCCCATTAGCCAAACTCCCCTATGGTCACAAAGAAGCCCTCCACAAGTTGTTTCAGTTGTTTGACCCTTTGATGCCTCATCTATATTTAACTTAATATACGAAGCCAAAAGAGGATGCCAGCTAACCTCTCTGAAAAAATGGAGTCGCAGTCTTGGCTTTGTGTCTGTAAAGGCAACTTGTATCATCTTAGGTAGTCAAGGATTGGCCGAGCAAGGTGGCAATCCCCATTGGAGAACTATCGTGGGCCACTTTGTTTCTCTAGCGCCAAAAATACCAGCAACAAGCAATATATAAAGAGCTCCAAATAAACCCTCCCACACTCATGAAATTTATAAATGAGTGTGGGAAGGTTTATTTACAATCTTTTTTTTACAACCTCTTACAACCATATCTTAACACCGTTAATTTCCGTCAATCAACGGTTATCATTAATTGTGAATTAATAATTAATTAATGAGTTTAATTTGCGAAAATCATAACCGTTGATTGACGAAAATCAACGGTGCTAAGATATGGTTTTAAGATGTTGTAAAAAAAAAGGTTATAAGTATAACCTTCCTCTATCTTTAGAAGGACAAACGTTTTTTCCTTATTTATTTTGAACATAACTTACACGAGTTTTTGATTTAAACTCTTGAAATAAAAAGTTTCTCCCTGAGAATATAGCTTTCCCATAATAATATGGAAAAAAATGTTCGTCATTTTAAAGAATGGTTATTTTAGTTAAAACTAATATTTTTTTATTGGATTCTTTTTTTCCTGCAGTGAATACAGATAAGTTATATTCATTGAGTTCAAAAATATGTCATGTTAGGACGGAGATTAAGATATTTTTGTAATTTTAATTTATTCTAAGTTATAATAGTATTTATTATTATAATTTTTTAATCTTTCAATTCCAAAACGACATCGTTTTAAGAGTAAATGTAGATAATTTATCTACACTACATTAAGCTCTTTTTTGTTTAAAGTTAAAAAAAAATAACCACTTACTCTCTCCCACGTAATTTCCATTATATATATATATATATATGTGACACAATTCTAACAAACACCAAACCCTAATAATATATATTTGGCACTCATTGCTATGCAATTAGAAGCGCACAAGAAAGAAACACTTGTTTAAAAACACATTAAATACATGACCCCACCCCTAACTGCTCTAGTTCCGGCCAAAACTCCGGCTATATTCTTGGCTATAGCAACTGAGGTATTAGTGTTAAGTATTACAAGTGTCTTCTTCAAAATATATATATTGTTCTTCTTCTTTTTTTCTTCATGTCATTGTTGTATGAAATCTGCATTAACCATTGCTCAAATATGGTGAAGAAGGGGTAATGGTAGTGAACTAGTTGGTTTTCCGGGGTCTACTCTCCATTGCATGTACGTTATAAGATGAGTTTCAGATAACTTTTATAATTGTTAGTGTTAACGTTATCTTATTTAAGAAAATAATGTTGAACAAAATTGGATTTCTTATGTTTTATTTCCTTTGAATGCGTAAAACTGAAACCATATGTTTCCTTTATGATGTTCTAAACAACTTATTTGATCTGCTATATATGTTTTTCCAATGATATTATTGTTTACTCCTCTTCCTTACATTTTATATAGTTGATAGTTGATATGCGTTATCTTATATGAAAAAGTGTTTGTCATGTAAGTTTCTGATCTTGTGGTGAAATGGAGAGCTTAAAAGCACCTTTCAAGGGAGTTATTAACGATATTCGAGGAAGAGCAGAGTGTTATAAAGAAGATTGGACTTGTGCTTTCCGTTCAGGAATCGGGTAAGTTTCTTATTTCAACAAAATTCTGAATATCAAACCACATGATTGAAAACTATGTGTGTGTAACGATCTAGCAATGGTTATTGTTTCAATATAATGATAGGATATTGGCCCCAACTACTTATATTTTCTTTGCTTCTGCTCTACCTGTTATTGCCTTCGGGGAGCAGCTGAATAGAGACACAGGTTCTTCATTATCTTCTTTCTTTACACTAATCTACTAGTACTGTACACAAAGTATAGAATAGTGATAGTTTATTTTTCTATATTGCCTATTAGGCTGAAATGATTTTTTTGGTTTTTTGCGTAGATGGAAGGTTGAGCACTGTAGAAACACTTTCTTCTACGGCCATTTGTGGAATCATACACTCAATTTTTGGTGGCCAGCCACTCCTTATTGTAGGAGTTGCAGAACCCACTATCATTATGTATACTTATTTGTACAACTTTGCTAAAGATAGGGCTGGTTTGGGAGGTGAACTCTTTTTGGCTTGGGCAGGATGGTAAAAAAACATTTTCTATATAGTGCTTGTTCATGTTATAATTAGCACTAACAATAAAAACCATAGTCTAATTGATATTGTTAACATCTCAGGGTTTGTGTCTGGACTGCTCTCTTGTTGTTTCTTCTAGCAATATTCAATGCTGGCGGTATTATCAACAGATTTACAAGGATTGCTGGTGAGCTTTTTGGCATGTTAATTGCAGTCTTGTTCATTCAGGAGGCCATCAAGGTCAGTTTGTGAAATCTCAAATCATGGATCAAATAAAAGATGATTTGGCATTAGACATGGAAAAGGACAATGATACAATTTTATGGAAATGCAGGGAATGGTGAATGAGTTTACTGTTCCTAAAAATGAAGACCCGACAACAAACCAGTACCAATTTCATTGGCGCTATGCAAATGGGTTGTTGGGTATTATATTCACATTTGGCCTTCTCTATACTGCATTGAAAAGCAGAAGAGCCAGGTCCTGGTTATATGGGACAGGTTTGTCAAGTTCATTTCAAGAGATTTGGGTTGAGCCATTGTTACTATATTTGTTATGAGGAATATGACATATAATCTTGTATATTGATTATTGAACAGGGTGGTTGAGAAGTTTTATAGCAGATTATGGGGTTCCTTTCATGGTGGTAGTGTGGACAGCTCTGTCATTCACAGTGCCAAGTAAAGTACCTTCCGGAATTCCAAGAAGACTAGTTGCCCCTCTGGCTTGGGAATCTGCATCATTACATCATTGGACAGTTATCCATGTAATTCAGATTGAACTAAGTCATGCATCTTCTTGCTTCTGTAGTTTTGGAAAATACTGACTTAACATTTGATGCAGGATATGGGGAAGGTTTCTCCAGCATATATATTTGCTGCTTTTATTCCTGCCTTGATGGTAGCAGGGCTTTACTTCTTTGACCATAGTGTTGCTTCCCAGATGGCACAACAGAAGGAATTCAATCTCAAGAAACCTTCAGCATATCATTCTGATGTGTTGTTGCTAGGATTCATGGTATATATATCTCTTTGTAAAAAAATAGTTTGTTTAATTATGACACTTATAACTAATCCGATCAGAAATAATGCTTTGCTTTGTGTAAAACATTTCAGACTTTGCTTTGTGGATTAATTGGGTTACCCCCATCAAATGGTGTTCTGCCTCAATCCCCCATGCACACCAAAAGCCTTGCAGTTCTCAAGAATCTGGTAGGTGAATGACTATTAGATTTTGTTGTCAGTAACATGATTACAAGGAATGTTTTTTGGTAAGGTAAATTTTGAGTTGCAGATGATCCGAAGAAAGATGGTTAAAAGTGCCAAGGAAAGCATTAGTAAGAAAGCTAGCAACTCTGAAATCTATGGGAAGATGGAAGCAGTGTTTGTAGAAATGGATAGCAGCCCAGTTGTATGTCTTTCTAGTTGTGTAGAAACTGGCCTTTGATCCTATTATATTCAAATAAAGTCAATTAGTTAAAAAAAAAAAAATAGTGAAAATTGATCCTTCAATATGAATAAATTGCAGACTTGTGTTGAAAAAGAACTAGAGAACTTGAAAGAGGTTGTCCTAAAAGGTGAAGATAAAGGAGACAACAAGAAGGATACCTTTGACCCTGAAAAACATATTGATGCATATCTGCCTGTTAGAGTAAACGAGCAAAGAGTTAGCAATCTCTTACAATCACTCTTTGTAGGAGCATCAGTCTTTGCTATGCCTATCATAAAAAAGATTCCCACTTCGGTTATGTGGGGATACTTTGCCTACATGGCCATGGATAGTCTTCCTGGAAACCAATTCTGGGAAAGGATACTACTTCTCTTTGTAACACCTAGTAGGTGGTACAAGTAAGTGCAAGTTACTGTAATTTTATCAATTTTGTTGTCAATGATTTCATTGAATTCTTTCAAATAATATTGTCAATCTATTTTGGCAGGATGTTGGAGGGGGATCATGCTTCTTTTGTGGAGTCAGTACCAATCAGATACATAGTTTTCTTCACACTCTTCCAATTTGTATATTTCCTGGTTTGTTTTGGAGTGACATGGATTCCAATAGCTGGAATCATGTTCCCTTTGCTTTTCTTTGTATTGATCCTGGTGAGGCAGTATATCCTATCCAAGCTGTTCAGTCCTCACCATCTAAGTGAACTAGATGGAGCTGAATATGAGGAAATTGCTGGGGCTCCAAGACTTTCTTTTGATCTCTCTGTGGAATCACCAAGGGAAATGGGAGATGCTGAAATATTGGATGAGTTAACTACTAGTAGAGGGGAGTTGAAGGTCAGAACTACTAGCTTCAGTGAAGAAAGACGTGGCCAGGTAACCCACAATTAAATTACTTTTTTCTTGAGTTGGAACTTAATAGCAAATGTTTTTGTTCTTTCTCTCACAAATGTGCTTGAATGCCAAGGATTTGCAGGTCTTTCCTGATGAAATAGTGAGTGAAAACTGAAAATGGATCCTCAGACTCTTAGGGACTTGGGATAAAAGTTTATGAACATGATGAGATATGGTCACTGGTTACTGTTTACTGTTTATATCTATCCTCTTTAGAAGAAAATGAAAAGATATAAATCAAGGTGTCACAGTTTGTGAAATTTAGATGTACAAACTTATAATACTTCAGACTTCATTGTGCTTGTCACATTGGGGTGTGGTGCTTGTAGAAACTGTTAATTACCAAGAGATGCCATCTTTGGATTGGGCCACTTCTATCCCAAAGAAATATCGGAGTCTTCCAAGGTCCTTTGTTTGAAAATGATGGCACAAATGTTGTTTTATCTGAGTTATGCCATGAGTATCATTACCTGTAATGACGATATCATCAACATATACTACCAAATAAATAGAACCTGAATCAGAGTGTCTGTAAAAGACTGAGTGATCAGCCTCACTTCGAGTCATGCCAAACTGTTGTACAACAGTGCTAAACCTTCCAAACCAAGCCCGGGGAGACTGCTTTAGACCATACAAGGATCTTCGGAGACGACAAACTAGGTTAGACTCCCCCTGAGCAACAAACCCAGGAGGTTGCTCCATATAAACCTCTTCCCGCAGATCTCCATGGAGGAAAGCATTCTTTATGTCCAGCTGATACATAGGCCAGTGATGAATGACTGCCATAGTAATAAAGAGGCGAACAGAAGTCATTTTCGCCACGGGAGAAAATGTCTCACCATAGTCAAGGCCAAATATCTGAGTATAACCTTTAGCCACTAAGCGGGCCTTAAGACGGTCCACCTGACCATCCGGACCAACTTTAACTGTGTATATCCATCGACAGCCAACAACAGACTTCCCAGAGGGGAGGGGAACCAGATCTCAGGTACCACTACTCTGAAGTGCACTCATCTCATCAATCATGGCTTGTCGCCAACCAGAATGTGATAATGCCTCACCTGTAGTCTTAGGAACAGATACAGAAGAAAGAGAAGAGAGGCAAGCAAAATGGGATGGTGAAAGACGATGATAACTCAAATTTATTAAATACCTGGGAGGGGGACGAGAATCACGAGTACCTTTCCGGAGTGCAATGGGCACATCAATGTCAGACGGAAGGATCGGAGCTGCCGGAGCAGATGATGACGGAAGTGAGTCCATAGGAGTCTCAGTAACAATAGGGGAAGACTCGGGGGGGCAGGGTCCTGGGGAATAGGGGGACGTTGCCGACGATGATAGACCTGGAGGGGGGGAACAGGGATGAGGACATCTAAAGAAGGAGATGGTGAAGGTATATAGTGAACTGAAACAGGTGGTAAAGGTAGCTGAGTAGCAACAGAATCACTGGGATGGGAGGAGGAGTCAAAGAATGGAATAGACTCAAAGAATGTAACATCCGCCGAGACAAAGTAACGGCGAAGACTAGGAGAATAACAACAATAACCCTTTTGTGAGCGAGGGTAACCCAGGAAAATACATTTATGTGACTTAGCAGATAACTTGTCAAGACCAGGACTGAGATTGTGGACAAAACAAGTAGAACCAAAGATGTGAGGAGTGAGTGGGTACAAAGGTTGATGGGGAAACAACACAGAATGTGGTACCTGATTATGAAGTACGGAGGAAGGCATCCGATTAATGAGATAACAAGCTGTGAGGACAGCATCGCCCCAATACTAGAATGGGATATGACCATGTAACAAAAGTGTCCGAGTAGTCTCAATTAGGTGACGGTTCTTGCGTTCAGCAACCCCATTCTGTTGAGGGGTGTGTGAACAGGATGTCTGGGGAAGGATGCCGTGAGATGCAAAGAAGGTTTGAAACTGATGAGACAAATATTCACGAGCATTGTCACTTCGAAAAATGCGAATCGAAACACCAAATTGAGTAAGGATTTCATTAAAGAACTTGTTAAAAATAGAAAACAATTCAGACCGATTTTTCATTAAAAATAACCAAGTACATCGAGAATAATCATCAATGAAAGTTACAAAATATCTGTACCCCATAGTGGAAACGGTACGACTAGGACCCCAAATATCTGAATGAACTAAAGCAAAAGGAGACGAAGACCGACGACTGACACGATCGGGAAACGAACTACGAGTGTGCTTCCCTAATTGACACGACTCACAAGACAAACTAGATAAATTTGAGAAACGTGGGACCATCTTCTGGAGCTTAGCAAGATTTGGATGACCCAACTGAGCGTGGATAGTAAGCGGAGAATCCACAATAGAGCACACTGGAACAGAAGTTGAAAGCTGATAAAGGCCATTGGACTCAGATCCGACGCCAAGTGTCCTCCTCGAGCTCCGATCCTGCAAAATGACAGACTCTTTAGTGAAAGAAATAATACAGTCAAGGGATTGAGTTAAGCGACTAATGGAAATAAGGTTGAAAGGAGAATCAGGAACATAAAGCACATTCTCAATGAGAATAGAAGGAAAAAGGAGAACAGTGTCAATCCCTTGGGACTGAACCAATGACCCATTAGCCATAGTGATACTGGGCAGGGGACCAGACGTACATAGAGAGGTAAATAAAGACTTATTATCAGAAATATGGTCAGATGCACCAGAATCGAGAATCCATGGATCAAGAGAGGGCGAGTGAGAAACACCAACAAAGGAATTACCCGTGTGTGCACTAGAGGCAGTGGTACCAGGAAGTGGCTGTGATCCAGCAATCAAGGTAGAGTCCGAGGCAGGAACAGTAGTCTGAGCAAAATGAGCGGAGCGAGGAGGGCGACCGTGAAGATCCCAGCAACGATCAATAGTATGGCCCGGCTTTTTGCAATGAGTGCAGAGAAAGCGTCTCGTAGAGGGTTTGTGCCCACGTGCAAAACCCTTGGAGACAAGGGCAGATGGGTCAATTGAAGAGGGAGCAGATACTGCAGGCTCCATAGAAGTCTTAGGTGGAATGCGAAGCAACGTAACCAAACAGATTCCAGCGATGGAACAGTAGTAGAGCCCAAGATCTGATCCCGGTTGACAGAATATGCCGGGGGCAAACCATAAAGAGCCATGAGCATGAAGAACGTGCTGCGTTGCTCAAGTTCTTTAGCAGGATCTGCAGCAGGCGGCAACAGTTCATTGAAATCATGAAGGAGGCCCTGAACTTTTCCCAAGTAAGCAGACATAGAGACATCAAGTTGTTGAGCAGCAATAGTAGTGATCAAATTTTGACAAACCCCATAGAGTCGCTGAGTGTCATTGGTATAAAGTGACTTGGCCTGACGCCAAACAGACTCACAAGTGACGTGAGCACGAAAAATCTGCTTCAAGGACGAGTGGATGGTAGACTTGATGATGCTACATAACTGAGCATCAACCTTTTTCCAATGAGGGCGTACATCTACCGAGATGGACTCAGCCTTAGTAATGAGATGGTCAGTGTAGTCCTGTCCATCAAGCCAAAGTCGGAGATCAGAAGCCCAAGAATCATAATTGGAGTCATCCAACTTGTCGACGTGCAGCGGAACATTAACATAATTAGAAAAAACAGGCGGGTCAGCCTTTTGAGAACCCTTGGATGCATCGTGGGGTGACAAATCAGCCATGGGTTACCTGAAACAAAAATGAACAGCAACGAAAAGCAAAGAAACGTCTGTGAATAGCGACCAACAAGGGAAAAGACACTGTAGGAAGTCGAAACAATAAAGTGAGGACAGATCCAAGTGCGCAAGGAGAAGACGAAGGGAACCGTGGTGGTCCGACGGCCAACCGGAGTGGGACGCGCCGCTGCAACAAAACGGGTTGCAGCCGCTGTTTGACGCGCGTGAGAGCTCGTGTAGGAGGATCTGAGGATGGGTCCTGGACAGAAAAGAGCGCCTTCTCGTGGCGATCAGATCGATATGGGTTTCACCGGAAAACTCGCCGGAAAACTCGCCGGAGACGGCGGTCAACGGCGGTGGACAGTGGTGTCTAATGGCGGCAGTGATCAGACAGGTCCGTAGACGATATATGTTTCCGGAAAAAAAAAAAAAAATTTACTCAGCAGACAGTGGTCCACCAGAAAAAAAAAACGCGGATTAGGATTCCTCTTATTAGGCTCTAGATACCATGTTAATTACCAAGAGACAAGAGGTATTCATTGTAATCCTTGTTATATTAAACTACACAACATTGGTGTTATTATATAGCAAACCAATTGAAGAATACAAAGAGACACTCTCAATGTGGGACTTCTATACTATGTACAGCAAGATAAACCTTCCTCGATATCATACACTATAGCACAGAAAGGAGCAATGAATCTACTGTAACAAAAATAAATGCAAGGAAGATAACTTTCCATCTCTTGTGGAAAGGAATATCTTTGGGTTGAACTTATCAAATTATAGTTTTTAAACATTACAATTTTAAAAACTTGTTATATAAATTTGAAAGCACGAGTGCGTTTATTTTAATCATGTTAAGAGTAATATATCAGTAGAATTTATAAACTGAGCTTAATTGATCTGTGGTTTGAATATCCTTTACTTTTGTTTCTAACTGAAAATTCAGCCATTGTGTAATTGTGTAAAAATAATAATAAACAAACTATGTTTTTGTGAAGTAAATTATAACAATAATAAATTTTCTCTTCAATTTTTTTTTCTCAAAAATCTAAGCCTAATTTTCTAATAATTATTACTAAAATTATATTTATTAAAAATAAAAAAACAAGCCTAACATCCGAAGTGAAATCAAAGAATCTCACAAAAAAGTGAGAGCAACATAATCAACCATTAAGTTGAAAATAATAGATGTGTGTGGGAAGGACATCCCGGGTGACATGTTTAACATGGTCCACTGGCATTATATGAAAATTGAGATAGGATCCTTTGACACCGGTGTCAAATTTAAAGTTTGACACCTCATCTGAGAGCCGTTAGATCAAAAAAGATCAATGGTGTCACATGCTTACAAATCAGAGTCATTGATCTTTTTTGATCTAACGGCTCTCAGATGAAGTGTCAAACTTTAAATTTAACACCAGTGTCAAATGATCCTGCCTCATGAAAATTTCATATTCAGATTAACCCGTTTTTAAATTCATAATATGTTGCGTGTCATTTCGTTAATACAAAATTAATTTATTTTAATTTTCTTATATGTTATATGTGTTATATTATCTCATAAATAAATTATTTATATCTTATCATATCATGTTAACTTATATAATAAAAAACACATTTAATGCTAAAAGATTATTCGGATCATGTTAATTCGTAAAATAAATTAAGAGAAATTATTATTTCATTTTACATGAGATAATTATCTTATGTTGTTCTCACATTAAAAATTAGGTCACTATTTTTATTTATTTTTACAAGATAGTGGATCTCATCACATTACGTGCCTATAATAGAAGATAATTATTATCTCCAATATGATAAAATAGAATCCCATAAACTAAACTGTTGGCACGCGTGTAAAATTTTTTAACATGATTTGAAATTCAGTGTGTTGAATATTCGTATCGAATTCATCTCGTATTATGTGTAACTGAATTGCCACCCTAAACGATAGTGATATCCCCTAATATAAATGGCTGGGGTGTCATAATTCATAAGCTTGGTGATAAGTTCACATCAACATTCTAAGAAAAGTGCACCTAAAAAGCGCACTAATAAATATCTTACAAAGAAAAAGTGAAACAAAACAAAGAGACTGTTGAATAGAACAGTCAGCACCCTCTTGGATAACTTCCACTTGTATAGCCTTTATCCACAATTATTATCCCCCGTCACGCTCCAGTCCCCATAGTCATTTTATTATTGCATTGTACATTCATACCCAAAATACCCTTTCAAACCAGGTACAACTATATAGCAAAGATACTGATACGAGATATGAAATATGACACGACACGATATTTTGACATATTAATTTTTAAAAATATTAGATGTTAATATGTTATAACACGTTTTAATATTAAATAATATTTTTAATTTATGTTGCATATATTATATTTAATATTCAATGATTTAACAAAAAAATTAGACTAAACTTATAATACTCGTTAATTTTGCAAAGAAACATAAAATATCACAAATATTTATATTAAATTCAATAAAATAGTAATAGTAATTCAATGAATCTAATAGTTAGAACTAAAAACACAATGCAATACAACCTTTGAATCTTTTTTTGAGTTTCTACAATGCGTTGGAGTGTCGTCGAATGTAGGAGTGTCTGAAAATGTCAGGAAATATCAGACACTACACATCGAGATTTTTGAAGTGTCGGTGTTTCATAGATGTACAATACTCCTAAGCAGGGGCGGACCGAGGGGGGTGCTAGGGTAGGCAGCCGCCCCCCTCAAAATTTGAAGAACTTTTTTTTTAGGTACATAGAAATTTTTTTTTAACATAAGTATAATGCAAAAACACTTTCATTTTTTTCTTTTTGGGCTAACATTGAGTAAATAGAAAAAAGAGGTTAAGAAATAAGAGGGGTCTGTTTGAATTATCTATTTAGATTTTAGTAATTAATACATATTTTTTGTGAAATTTAAACATTTGTTCTCTTCTCTTTTTCTTTGTTTTCTTTGCATAAAAATGTTCATTTTAGGGGTTGAAAATGTGTAGTTTTTTCAAATTGATAGTAGATTTTACTGTGACATCTTCCACTTCTCTCTCTTCTATCTCTGTAACAAGTTAAAAGAGGTATTTATGAATTATGTTATCTGGATTGGTGTTTTGGCCTCTCACATATTGTGGTTGAAGAGAGGAACAAATATTTAATTTTGCGTATCTTGACCTCTCGTATATTATGTTTGAAGAGAAAAATAAATTTTTAATTTTTAGCCCCACAAAAAAAATTCCTGAGTCCGCGACTGCTTCAAAGCATTAGAGCAGTACAAGCTGTCATGCAATCTCACCATACCCAATAATTTCCCCGACTGAATATGAGCATCTGTATTTTCATTGAAGCAAAGCCTATCTATCACACTCTCTAATCTAATGGCAAACACACTCATGTTTCTCCGACCCGCCATGGGCCGGGTCTCCGCTGCTGCTCCAGGAAAACCCGACCCAGAGAATCAAAAGGCCGGTTCTTCCATTTGGTGGGCTCCGTTGTTCGGATGGTCCACGGATCCGGACTACTTGAGCAGCTCCAGCTTAAAGGTGAGTGAAGGGTCGGATCCGGAGCGGGAACCGGTCCGACCCAGATCGAAGTTCGCACCGGGATGCTTCACGGAGGAGAAGGCAAGACAACTGAGGAAGAAGACCATGGAAACGTCGACGTTCCACGACATCATGTACCACTCGGCGATTGCGTCCAGACTCGCCTCCGATGCTTCCAAAGGGTACGAGAAATAGGAGGATCTTGTCTTTTGTTGCGTGTGTCGTTGGCCTTTGCATGTTTCCAATTCGTCGGTTTCATTATTTTCTTCGAAATTTGTCCTGAATTATTGTCATATTTACTAAGAACAATTAATTAGCCTATGAATGATTTGGGACACGCTGGATGGAATCTATGTGTATTAAGCCTGGCTCCTTTTGTGCTAGTTGTATGAATCTGTCTTTTGGTTATAGAGAAGTTTCACATATCTTCATTTGAGATGGTAGTTAATAGGGTTTAAATATTTGGGGGTTACTAATTTCATTTTTGCTTGAGATAGTTTTTCTCAAGGTGTTCGTAATTTGGATTCGATCGATTTTAGAAACAAATCATCTGATTCAATGTCTTCTGTTTGACTATCTAATCATCTATTCGGTTTGGATTTTTTTTCAAATCTGATCCGATCCAATCCAATCCAATTTTTTTTTGTTTGGATTGGATCGATTTTCGATTTTTCGAAAATTCTAAAATTTGTTTCATTCAGATAACATCTTTTGTATATGGGTTTGTTTTTTCTGATGTTACTTTAGATAACTTTATCTAATGTTCATCAAAACGACGTCGTTTTGGGACAAAAATAATGGTATTTTCGTAATTTTAATTTATTTCAGGGTTATAATAGTCTTTATCACTCTAATTTTTTAATTTTTCAACCCAAAACGACGTCGTTTCGATGAACATTAGATAAAGTTATCTAAAGTAACATCGGAAACTTTTTACCCTTTGTATATACATTGGCTTTGTAAAAAAAATTTGAAATACAAAAGCATCAACAAATGATAATATAGATTTTTTTGGGGGGCAATGAGATATGAAGCTATACGCAGATGAAATTTTGTTGATGAGATGTGATTAAATTTTTTCTTGGGTTTAGTTGATGGGTTAATGGGTCTTGAGTTTAGAAATTTTTGGATTATGATTGGAAAAAGACCAAAGTAAGTAGAAGGGAATTAATATATTTGATCGGTTTGGATTGGATCGGTTTTCATAGCAATCAGAAAACCGATCCAATACAATTAAAAGTTGCGGTTTTTTTTTTTTTCAATTTTTTGATTTTCGGTTTGTTCGGTTTTTGATTTTTCGGTTCGGTTACTGCGGTTTGAATCGGTTGATGAACACCTCTGGTTTTTCTCACATGTGTGAGCTAAATATGTGGGGTCCACACTTTAAAACAAATGAAAAAAATGAAAAAAGCTGACACAAAATTCGATGAGTGTATAACATGAGATAACTATCTCCAACGAAATGAAAAAAATATTTCCCTGAAATATTAAGAGACAAAAATCATCTCTTACATGCAGAAGTGTTTGAAGTCACACACTCTTGTGTAAATGTATGTAAGTAATAACTTTATTTTTTCGATATATTCACCCTATAGCTTCCGTGAGCGAGTCAATTTCTCGATATTCTAATAAGCTTTAATTCTTCAAATTGATTATGAGATTAATCTTAGGGGCCGTTTGGTACACGGATTTTTTCCGGATTTCAGGAAAACTGAAATTTTTAAAATTTTAAATTTTCAGATATTATCGTAAACTGAATGTAAAAATCATATTTTTTAAAATTGAAATTCTCGGGCAAATAAAAATTTCTCCTGTACCAAACGCCCCCTTAAGTTAGAGTTTAATCATGTTTAAAACTCTTCGTCCCTCAATAAAGATGTACTTGATGAAAATCATAAGTTATGTTCTTTTCTTGTTTAGTCTGCATGTGTTGTCAAGTAAGAAATAATTATATCTCTTATTTTATAGGAAAGTTTAAACCCTAGTTAATAACCTTTATATTTTAATTGTAGTTAGCAATCAATTTTTATTTGTGTAATGAAGATAAAGAAAAGTAACCGCGGTATGCAATAGTAATTTTAACTTTCTTAAGCCAATTAGCCACTGATTGCCTCTTTTAGAATACATATCTGCTAACCTCATATGAAGCACCATAATTAATTAGCATGAAGTCTGCACAATTCTTCAATTGTATATCATGGTCATGGAGGCTGTATATGGGTCACACCAAAATTATAAGCGAGGGTTATGATCCAGTTTAGTCCTAAATTAACCATAGAGTCTTAGCCCATATAGTCCTAAACCATAAAGGAGCATATCATCACAACTTGTGTCACTTCTTTTCTATATGCAATAATACAAATGGCCTCCAATTAAAAGTTTGATTATTTTCAGCCCAGAGCATAAAGCCTGAATAAAATCATAATCATTCCTAAGCTTTACCCTTGCCTAAGGCATCCACTAACATGTACTTAATTAGAAATTTATTCACTTTAAATACATTAAAATTTTCAATTATTATTTTTTTCTACTTATTTCTTGGAATAACTAATAATTTTTGTACTAATATATATATATATATATATATATATATATATATATATATATATATATATTTGGTTGCATTAGGAAACTTCTGACTTTTGTATAAACCTGCAGTGACTAAAGGCTTTTGCATGAAGTTCAGCGTAGTTGGTAGATAACTAAGTTCCTTAAGCATGCTAGCAGTAGTTTGATTTCTTTTAAATTATTCTTTCTATAAAATTAATTTATTTTCAGTCAAAATGAAGTATAAAAAAACTATTTAACATTTTTATTGTTCGGTGTCATGTTATGTTTTAGCCATTTCCAAATTCATCGGCGAAACATGTATTGCAGATCTTCTGTTGTTTTTATGTGAACCTGCACACATGCGAGCGACCAAATGAACTTTTTAATACAGAAACACATGCAACCATGTTAATTGTTGCCTAATATTGGTGCATAAAAGCAATTATTGTCAAGCCTGCCCCTAACTGAGTATCATTTGCTTAATACTACCTAATAGCTTGCAGATCATTTGCTTAACATATGGGATAGGGTCAAAGGATCATGTCCCCATACATCCATATATACATACATACACACACATACATACATAAATGCATGCATGGGGGAATCATAACCATACAAAGGATAAAAACATTAAATGTGATGAATCATAAGTATACACATGTCGTTGTTGTACGTAAAGCGGCTGCAGAAATAATTTTACCTATATATATATTTATATATATAGGGAAAAACTACTCTTATGTTACATATGATAATTTTCTTTCTTACACACCCTTCGATAACTGTGCCAGTGCCAAATTTTTCTTTTATTTTTATTTTTCAGGTGGTGGAGCCCACAAATTTATCTCTATGACATGAAATAGCTTATCTCCTTTAACATGAATTAATAAAACTCATATATATATATATAGGGAAAAACATTTCTCAAGCAGCTTGAGATAAGTTTATCTCCGGCTACTCCAAAACTACGTCATTTTATTTATTTATTTCCTTATATTAATTGATTCACCTTTGAATGGTTATGATTTCCTTTTTCTTTCTCTTCCTTTATCACTGTTGATCCATCTTTGTACGGTTATGATTTAGTAGCCGGAGATAAGATTATCTCAAGCAGTTTAAGAAACGATAAGCCCATATATATGGGAAAAACATTTCTCAAGCTGCCAGAGATAAATTTATCTCCGGCCACCCCAAAACTACGTCGTTTTGATTATTTATTTCCTTATATGTATTGATTCACCTTTGAATGGTTATGATTTCCCTTTTCTCTCTCTTCATTTATCACCATTAATCCATCTTTGCACGTTATGATTTAGTAGCCGGAGATAATTTATCTCCGGCAGCTTGAGAAATGATAAGCCATATATATATATATATGTTATTGAAGACAGTGGGTGATATTACATCACTAATAGATTTGAACTCATATATAAACAGAAGAGGTAGATGATCAGAATTATCACTGTGCAATTATAATAATTAAAACAAACTTACTTGAAGAGTGTGATAAAGCAGACAAAATCAGAGGAAGGAATGTATGCAGTAGAGGAATTAAAAATCCGAGCCCACAGAACGTGTCTCCTTAAGACAATTTGCCCCCTCACAGATGCCAAAGGTTGATGGACACTTGTCTCCCAGGATAGAACGGATTTCGTCTGAAGAGTGGCGACACTACCAGTCAACAGCCCTAACGAACACAACAATATGCCAGAAGAAATCACACCGGAGTATGAACAGGAATATGCAAAAACTGGAAGGAAAAAAATTCCGGCAGAGTTTCAGTGCAGAAAATCGGATTCATTTTATGAAGGTGTCAGTGTCTATTTATAGACACTGACCGGTCACGTTTCAAAAGGCACATATTCAACGACGAAACAACACATCTGTTGGACACGAAAAGACACATTCGTTCAACACGAAAAGGCACCTATTCAAGGATGAAACAACATGTCCGTTAGGATGAAACAACATGTCTGTTAGGATGAAACAATACATCCATTAGGATGAAACAACACAGCTGTTCAGATGAAACAACAGATCCGTTCAGATGAAACAACACATCCTTTAGGATGAAAAGATAAATCTGTTTGTCGACGAAAAGACACACCCTTTCACTACCAAACTTTTTATTCATAACCAATAGATTGTCTACACAATTTATATATATATATATATTCCAACAATATATTCCAGTGATCTTGGCAAGCCTATCTTCCCAGAAGATCTATATGCGCATGATCAAATTCAGACCCATGTGTCGTGGCATGATGGAATAACGGGGCCAACATGTTTATTTTCCACTCATTATTATTTTCTAAAATAATTTAGGTTGTTTATCACCCTTGATGTCGTATGGTGGTGAAACAAATACAAACTCATGAAGATACTAAAACTATGAGAGTGCAAAAAGATAAATTTTATGTTGCATGTATAAATTAGGAAATGTCATGAACCAAGTTCATTTAGTTGATACATTTGCTTGTAAGTTTTTGATATATTTTTTCTTTCTTTCTTTTCCTTGGCTCCCTTATTATTACTTAGGAGATCTCTTAGACACCATTTTAGTGGTGGATTAATTAGGACCAGGCAGAATTTAATAAAAAAAAGAGAGAGACGAGAATCTCGGCGATGGGTTAGTGGATATATAATATCAGAATTTAATAAAATTAGACTAGAAAAATTACAACCAAACAGATAAGGGTTAGTGGATATATACTGGACCTTGCCAAGAATAAAAAAAAAAATTCCTTAAAACTGGTTCGAAAATGGTTCAAAATTGATTCAGAAATGGTTCTGGTTTGAATCCGATTTGAAACTAATTCATAAGTGGTTCAGGTCGAACCGGTT